GTACCTGTACTTTTTTAGGACAAAAAAAGCTACAGTTAAAGTTGGTGTGCAGGATCAGCGAACAGGACAAAAGAATCATATTTTTGTGACTTAGCTTGTTGGAGGTTCAGGACCTGGCAGTGAGTTTTCTCCTTTACAAATATTTGACGTTTGAGTATTCAAGGGTGAGAACAAGGGGCACTACACACAGAAGTAGCAAGTGAGGACAGTTCAGTGTGGACACAAGAAACAGAAACAGAAAACTGTGTGATAAAATCATTCTACATTTCTCTATTGCTGCTATTAAAAATAAATATGAAGTATGTAAAACAGAGACTAAATAATCAGGTAGAATTAGCTCATATTATACACAAAAAAGATGAAAATGTACGCCAGGGTTTAGTGGTTTTATTATTATTATAAGTAGTAGTAATAGTAGTAGTAATTTTTTCGTAGTATTGTAGTACCAATAGACTACATGTGGAGGTGAGCTGAGGATAGCTGTATGGCTATTCACGACACAAAGGTAAACAACAAACACTTTACGGCAGTAAATATGGCGTCGCACTTCAGCGGTGTGCTGCAGTTGACCGATCTGGATGATTTCATCACCCCCTCTCAGGTTGTGAAACTTGTTATAACATGTTGTAACGTTGTATAACATTAGACCGTTTCCCACATAGTTAGAACCATTAACTCACGTCGCATTTAAAAGCAGCTAGCAGCAGACAAACATACAGAAGTAGCCGACATGTTAACTAGCTGTTAGCTGTTGTTGTCGGTGTCTGTTGAGTGAGAGAAAACGACCCCGTGACTGAACCCCCCCCCCGAATCAAACCTCCTGGTTTGATTCTGACTGGTAAAGGAAGCTGACCTCTGTGAAGGCGTAAAAGCCGAGAAGGTTAAAAACATCACGTGTGTGCAGTTAGCTGGCCGCTAACTGTAGCTCTGATGTTAGCACCATGATATAACATGGTTGGTAATAACATGGTTTAGTTGATTTAGGTAAGTTTTCCTTTATCTTAACGATATGGCACAATGGAACACTGCAGCCTGACTTACTGAGTTCAAATTGTAAATCTGAATGTCCTTCATTTGTCTTTTCAGCCTTTTTCTGAAACGTTTGGTCACTTTCTGACCTCTTCAAGCTTTACGAAGAAAATAAAATGCTGATGGATGTGACAAGAAACCTTGATTTCTCTATCATGCTCTATTTATTTGTTTTGTATTTTATTTTCTATTCACTTATTTCCTTCTCTTAGTTACTCAGTTCTCCCAGGTGCCTTTAGATGTTGCTGAGATGATATTGATCATGAAATTCACTTTAAACACTTGTTTTATAGTTTGATGAAAACATGTGACTCGTTTTTTTCTGCAGGAATGTGTCAAACCTGTGAAAGTAGAGAAGAAACAAGGTAAATCTGTGGCCAAAATTCAAATAGAGGATGATGGAAGTTATGTCCAAGTAAACCAGGTGGGTTATTCAGGCCGAAACAAAACCTGCGTGTGAACTATAATAATTATTGTAGCGCACCAACAGTTATCTTGAAGTCATTTGCTTTTATGTCTGAAGGATGGTGGGAAGAAGAAGCTGGAGAAAGCAAAGATCACACTGAATGACTGTTTGGCCTGCAGTGGCTGCATCACCTCAGCTGAGAGCGTCCTCATCACGCAGCAGAGCCACGAGGAGCTTTTTAAAGTGCTGCAAAACAACAAGGTACGGTTGAATACATGTGTTTGAATTCTTGTGTATTATGTGTCTGGTCAAGATTGCTTTTGCAGCCTTTTGAAAAATGACAGTGAACACTTTGTGTGTCAGGCCAACGTGACTGAACAGAAGGTTGTGGTGGTTTCGGTGTCACCACAGTCCAGAGCCTCCCTTGCAGCACACTATAACCTCAGCAGCAGTGAGGCAGGCAGGAGACTTACTTCTTTCTTCAAAAGCATTGGTGAGTTCAAATATTAGCTTTTTTAAATTCTTACAGTAAAACTGGAAATTAATAAGATGAATTGATTCAGGCAGGTAGAGTGTCCCCTGAATATTTGTATTTTTTTCATCATTTCATTGTTTCTGTTGCAGGAGTTCATCATGTGTTTGACACCAGCTTTAGTCGGACCTTCAGCCTGCTGGAGAGTCAGAGAGAGTTTGTGGAGCGGTTACAGAGGAAAGAGCAGGACAGCAAAGCCCTGCCAATGCTGACATCTGCCTGTCCAGGTATATCACTACAAACCCTAAATGTATAATGTCCCAGCAACATGACCAGTGGCAGTGGATTTCTCCTCCTCAATTCCACTCACCTACTAATTAAAAACCCTCTGTTCTTTGTATTGTCAACACTGTATATTAATTAACTGTTGTTTACATTCATGGAGATAACTAGATTTCTGTTCTTTAATTATAGATAAATGATCCAGAGTTTAGCCATTTGTATGCAGCTATGCTCAGGGTCGTGACCCATGTTACTCATTGACATGCTTAACAAGAGGTCAAGAAGTTGCATCAGTGGCTTTACATGTTTTAAATATAGTGTTTTAATATGTTTGTGTGCGTGTTTTATACAGGTTGGATATGTTATGCAGAGAAGACCCATGGGGAGTTCATTCTTCCATACATTAGCACCACTCGCTCCCCCCAGCAGATGATGGGTTCACTGGTTAAAGGATATTTTGCTGAACAGCAGGTAAAGTTGTGTAGGAATAAGAGATGTAGTTTTTAATATCCAAGCAAAAGGTGAGAGTTAAAACTCTGGCAAATCCAGTGCTGACAGTGGACTCCTTGGAATGTACGAAAAACTGAGTTGCCATTGAGTTGTCTATTGTGTGTTGTTAGGGTCTGAGTCCACAGCAGATCTATCATGTGGCAGTAATGCCCTGCTTTGACAAGAAGCTTGAAGCCTCGAGGTCAGACTTCTACCTGAACAAGGCTGAGACCAGAGAAGTAGACTGTGTCATCACCTCTGGTACAGAAACTACTACAATGCTGTTTGTGTATATGGATGTGGAGTATCTTGTTTCTTATTCTTTCCATTGTCTCATACAGGAGAAGTTCAGAAAATGCTGGAGGAGAAAAAATTGTCCCTTAATGATGTGGAACCGGCAGCCGTGGATACACTGTAAGTTCTGTAACATTTTTGCTTTTTCTCAGCCTGTTGTTTCTTTCAAAATAAGCAACAGGATGAATTTCCAGAAGAATGTAATGAACTCATTCTCACACACTACATTTTCTTTACCCAGGTTCAGTAGTGTTTGTGGAGATGAGTTTCTGAGCCATGCAGGGAGTGGTTCAGGGGGTTACCTCCATCATGTCTTCACCTATGCTGCAAAGCAGCTGTTGGGAGAGGAAGTGAAGGAACTCACCTACAAGACCCTCAGGTGAATCCACTGCTTATTATATACATTCAAACATGTTGAATGAGCTCACAATAGCTTCTCATGTTGAATTATAATGTGAAACGACAAGGTCAACAAAATAATGCTCTGAAAAACAAATTTTCTTTGACATATCCACAAACAATTCAAAGCTTATTTTGGGAAGCTAATTATTCATATTATATTATAAGTGACATCATGAAGAAGTCAGAAAATGACATCATGCATTATCAAGAATGCATTTCTCTGCCTTTTGGACTATACACACAATCTAAAGCATATATAGATCTTAATGTATTTGCAGATCATATGGTAGGAATGAGGACTGCAATTTCATGGAGATGTGATAATGAAAGGGCATTCTTACAATATAAATAAGAGTTAACATTGCCTGACTGGGGTACATATGTCCTCTGCTGCAGGAATAAAGACTTCCAGGAAGTGACTCTTGAGAAGGATGGAGTGGTCCTGCTCTCCTTTGCTTCTACATACGGCTTCCGCAACATCCAGAACCTGGTGCAGAAACTCAAAAGGGGCAAGTCGCCTTATCACTTTGTGGAAGTTATGGCCTGTCCATCAGGTAAGAAGAACATTTCAAAAAACCTACACAGCATTAGTTTGCCACACCAGAGAAGTACCACCATGACACTGTGGTTATTCATTCTTCAGTTTGCAAGGGAATTAAATTGTGATTGTCTTATTGATATTCAGGATGTCTAAATGGCGGTGGGCAGGTGAAGGCCTCGTCTGATCAGAACCAAAAGGAGCTCCTCCAGAAGGTTGAGGAGCTCTACAAGGCAGAGCGCCCCCTGTTGCCAGAAGACGATACCCGCGTTGCTGAGCTGTATCAGTCCTGGCTCCACAGTGTGGGGGAGGAGAGGGCCAAAGAGCTGCTGCACACACAGTACCACACAGTGGAGAAGATGACCAATGGACTCACTATGAAGTGGTGATGAGTGAAAACAGAACCGTCCACAAATTCCATTTTATGTCTCAACTGCGCAGGAAAGTTGGGTTTACATGGACAGTTGAATACAAGCAGATTTGATGTGTGCCAGCATCTTTTAAACCACCTGTGTCCAAAACCTGTGCACTTGGCACTGTGGAAGATCAGGGCATAGATAATAAATGCCATGCTGTGCCAAACTGAATTATGTGTATGGTAATGTTTCCTTACACTACTGATTATGCTCTGAAATGTATGGTGTAGTAAATCATTCATTTGTGTTGCACCTGTTACACTAAACTGTGACTCGAATTAATACAAAGCAGAATCATTCCTTGTGTATTTAACCTAATGATTATATATATATATATTTTGAGAAAAAAAAAACTTTATTTAATTGTAACCATTTGTTTGTAAGAATCTGTCCAACACAATAAAGATTTAGACTTATATGTTATGTCACTGTATAAACTGAACATGAGGATGTACACTCCTGCGCAACAATTCATATTCATGGTCATGTACACTGCATCTTTCTCCACCCTTATGGCAGAGTTTATAACATATCACATACCTGCCACTGTCAATGACAGAGAAATTATTTTTAATTGTATTAGATAGAAAATTAATTTTCTAGCTTTCAACCACAGAAGTGACGAGGTTTACCAGACAGGAAAAAAACATTAGGAAAGCAAACGTAGATATCAAGGAAGTCAGTTACATTCAGACAAAGACATGAAGCTCATTATTCCACTGGAATAACAGATAAGATATTAATGAAGCAATAAATACATTAAAGAAAATTAGTTGTGCATGACAGAGTGGGAGAGCACAATTCTAAAGGAAAGGTTTTAAACTGGCTTTTATAAGGGGTCAACCAGTCACCCAGGAATATAAATTGGTTAAGTCCAGGATGAAAGCAACAAACACCACACTCTGCAGTCGTGTGTTTTACCTCAGTCTTTCAAACTATGAGTCCTTCGTAATTGAGTATGTCTGGGTCTCAGGGTCTGAGAAGCCCCCACTCCAAAGCCAGCATGGCGTGGGGAGGAAGTCTGTCCTTAGGCTTCTTAAATTTGTCCTTCTCCTTTCGCAGGACCCGCAGCACCTCGATGGGGTCGGTCTTCCCAGTGAACTTTTGCACTCCTTCCTCCCTACAGTAAAGGAAGAGGATGAGAAAGACTAAGGACTGAAAGAAATTACAGTATTGCAAAAAATTATGGCTGGAAATGTGTTAATTCTATAAAGCACTGAGACTGATAGAGCCTGAAAATAAGAAAACTATTTTCCCTTGACAGTTTTTATGTGTTGTACGTGAATAAATGTAAATATTCCAAACTCACGAGAGGCGAAGAAAAGGGTTGTATTCAAACTCCTCCACTAGGGTAGATGGCACTGTGGGTTTGTCATCATCGTCTCTTGCCTGCAGACACAAATAAACATATGAAAAGACTGGAAACCAACAAAGTATATATGATTTGAATCCTTAATAGGAACCGATGGGCTTGTAAGGTTTCGATCTTCTGTTGACAATAACAAAACCAGGGATGACTGTGAGCGTTACTCTTCGGGAGTTCACGTTGAAGAGCTCACCCTGGCCCAGCTGAGCATCTCTTTAACCTTCTCGTTCTCCGGCTCCACCAGCATGGCGAACTTCAGGTTCTTAATGGTGTACTCGTGTCCGCAGAACACCTTCTACAGAATAACATAACATAACACAATATTTTATTCATCTCACAGTGGGGAAATTGGCAGAGGGGATGTAAACAATAAGTAGGATCAGTAAAAAAGTAATAAATAAGTAAACATGAGGGAAGAAGGGAATATAAAAATAGTCAAAATATACAGAATGTAACTAGGATATATACAATGCAGAGAGGATTGCACAGACTATGGAAGTATTGCACATTTTGAATTAGATTACACTTGATTTATTATTTAACTGTTGGTGCAGTTTCTTGTTTATCAGAATTCTGGTGCTTGAGTTTCTACAGAAAGCAAACAACACAGCATGATTCAAAAACCAGACCTCTTGATCCCTGAGACACACACAGAAGTAGAGACTGAGCCAGACTGAACTCAAACGCTCCATTGTACGTGTGTTTATTCACCAGAGTGACTCAGTCTTACGCCAGCTCTTATCTGAGGTCATGCTAACTGTACTTAGGGCTGCACACAACCACCACAGATTCCCACTGACCGTGTCTTGAGGTAGGGAGCCCAGCACCTGGGTCAGATTGTGGTACATCTGTTCTGCTGTTCCCTCAAGAAACCGACCACACCCTCCGATAAACAGCGTGTCACCTAGCAACCAAAAGATGAAAGCGATGAAACATCACAGGGGGCAGTGCTCAGTCCGTGTCAAACCACACAACAAGAAAATGCACAATGTGCTGGTCAACAAGGATTCAGCATTCTTGCATATTGGTCTCAGAGCAAAGTGATTGACAACTTGCACGTCTCAGATTTCAACTGGTTCAGCAGCTCTTTATGTTTATAGACAAAGACCTGTGAACACAGCAGGGGCGTCCGTGCACTCATCCTCCCAAACAAAGTAGCACATGTGACCAGAGGTATGGCAGGGAGTAAACAGGCACCTCACATTGATGGAGTTAAACTGCAAATAGAGAAAACACAAAATCAAAATGACAACGTGACAGAGAGGCAGAAACAGAGTCTCCTGTTGCTTTGTGTGCACCTTGAGTTCCTGAGCGTCTGTGACTTTATCAGTCAGGCCCCCGATCCGATCATCTCCCCCGTACACACGCAACCCAGGAACGTCCTTCAGCAGAGCCTCGTTCCCCCGAGCATGGTCCCTGACCAGTGAGAAGAGGTTAGTAATTATATTTGATGTGCGACAATGTTTTGTTATTCTTGCCAAGACCCGAACAACCTTCTTACCAGTGATGGTGTGTGGTGAGAACAGCCGTCAGAGACAAACCCTCTCTCTTCACTATTTCTAGCAGCTGGGCAAAAAAAACATGTGTCACTTTTATGACAGTCATTCTAAGTTTTAAAAATCTTTTTTAGTTTTGAAAGGGACAATGCACCAACATGTAAATGTGTCCAGTTTACCCATACAGGAAAGTTTTCATCTCCAGTCCCTGTCAGGTTACAAAAACTAAAACAAACTACGTATGCATGAGTGATATATAGATGTGCACCGAACCTTTGTTATGGGCCTCATAAACTATTGATGAAATGATATTGCAACAGTTATTGCTCATGTTTGGTTGTCTCTTTGGGGCACATCACTTTGTTTTCCACAGTGAGCTTCTCAAAGATCTCTCACCCGGTGTGGTACAGCTGGATCCACAGCTAAGGCCTGTTTGCTCTGCTCCTCTATCACCAGGTACATGTAGTTGTCCTCCAGGATGGAGATCACCTTCACCTTCATGGCACCACTGAGGAAAAGGTTTAATCAGCCACCGCTGCTTGTGTGGAGATCATCCTCCTGCAGCTGCTGATTTAACACTAATAATAATGATGATAGTAAAATGCTGACGACGTTTCCCTGCATTGGAAACGTTACAGGTCAAATACAGAGTCAGTGCAGTGGAAGAGAAAGTCCTTTACCTCAGTTTGACAGCTGCAGGTTATTCTCTTTCCACTTGTGATGCTGTGGAAATCATGATCCTACATGTGTGCGCTCAGAGCAGGAAAGTATCGCGACATCACACATACCAACATGTCAGAAGACATTTTAATCGAGCCGGAAATATTCAACCAGGAAGAATTTTAACTTCACCAAACAGAATGTGCTCATTTATTTACGAGTCTCATTCCAAGAAAAACATAAATATTCAAAATGGAATTATTTGAGCTGGATTTCTGTTATTATAGTTTATTTTTTCATCAACTTTATTCATTTTAAACTGTGTTTTGAAAGGTGCTGCATAAGGTTTATTATTATTTGTTTGTTTGCAGGATAACACTGATGCAGACCAGGGGGCAGGGCCAGGAAGTATTTCACCTTCTTTCTTTCTTTAATATTGTGTTTATCTCTGAGAATAATTATTGCATCCGTCACATGTTTAGGTGAGGGACATTTATCAGCTCTATTGAGTTCCATTCTTGTTTTATTACACTACACAGCATATACATAAAATATTTGAATCTACCACGAATGAATTCGTTTTTCAAAAATATAATAGATGTGATGATGAGGAGATAGACTTGGCTGAAAATAAAGACAAAATACTTCATGGCATCAAAGGTTTTAATATTACCAAAAGTAATCCACTTAAATATAACTTTAAGTGCTTCGTTTGTTTTTTTCTGTTTTCTGCTGTACTTTTTTTCACTTTATGTCAGAAAAAAAATTTTTTTTACTCCACATTTGATACCTTTAATTATTAGTTACACTGCAGATGATTTATATACAAAACATATCATCAAAATGTGATGTATTTACATAGATCCAACGTATAAACAGTGCAAAAGTCCGACAGGACAGTGTAAGTGAGGCAACATTGCTGATCATTCCTTCAGGTTTGTGAAGTTTAGTGACCTCAGGTGGATACAACAGAAATTGGCCCACTTTGAACCTAAGCAGAGGTGTGACAAGCCCAAATGAGCTTTATGTGTGTGGTTGTGCAGGGCTTTAACATTAGCACCACCTCAACCAGTGGTATCCAAAGCTCAACACTTTGGTCCATGATACAAAACACTTGTTCTGCAGCATGAGTAGTTTTCAATTTTGAATGCTTTTATTTCTACTGAATGGCAACAAATGTGTTTTATCAAATATTCTTTGTAAGATTGCCCTCTACATGCAGAACAGAACTCATCTAATGCGGACACACCAACAAGTAGAGAACGCTGCGCTCACACAAAGCTTTTAAATGAAGGAAGAAATTAAAAGCACTCGAAATCAATTATACATCATTAAAACTTAACTTTCAAGCAAATATGAAAGACATGGAAGGAGGAAACATTCCAGGCCAAAATAAAATAAGCATGTGAATCTTCACATAATACTAAATACTTTCTAAAACTCTCATTTGAAGACGAACAAACTTATTTCTCATTTAAAGCATTCAGTTTATGGCCATACATTCCTTAAAAATGCCACAGATACCAGCCAACCAAATGAAATACCATTAAAACAAAGACGGGAAATGTAAAGCCACATGAGTGATAAACAGAGTGATTAAAAACTGTGTGCTTGGACTGAGAGTGAATGCAGAAAGTCTATTTGAAGTAGCTTTGAAAATGATTTGCAGATATTTACTTTAGTACACTATTAACAACTTGTAGTGTCATAAGCAATTGTTCAGCAACAATCAGCATGACTCAGCATGACTGTTAAGGGCGTCACTCCTTGGGCACCCGGAAGTTGTCTTTTTCTTTCCGTAGGCTTCTCATGGTCTCAATCGGGCTTGTCTGCTTTACGTGATCTTGGACGGACTTCTCTCTGAATCAAAAGTCATAAAATGGGGGTCAATCAGGCAGCAGTCTTTGTGTAATTAGCTCTTAAGAAATAACAGTCTTCTAAAATAAATAGTGTTTGTTGAGCTGTACACACTTTACTCGCATAAAAGGGTTAAAGGTGAATTCATCGGCCAGAGTGGACGGAACAGTAGCTTCTCCGTTGCTGCATTTCTCCTGTTGACACACACACACACACACACACACACACACACACACACACACACACAC